CCCCCACCAAACAATTCGTGACTTCTGTGGGTTCATGGGTCAATAAGAAAAGGTCAATAAGGACCTTTGAGAGTGACAAAATGTATTATTTCCTTTCAATAAACTGTGTTTTGGAAACTCAAGGTCAATTTATTTTAGATGGGTTATCTAAAACACCCACCTGCCATTAATCAGGGTTTTAATGACACAATTTTACACATTACATATTATTGTAACCCACAGAAGTCATTAAATGGGATTTTCCAAGAAGCTGGTGATATGAACAAACAAAGCTGAACCTGAGGGGCATAATATCTTGATAAATCAAATATTCTTAACAAGCACACCAGAATTTAGCAAAACAGAAGACTTAATGAGTACAACAATAGCTCTGTATGTGTGTCTAAATACCTCTTCTTTTTCTAAGGGCCTGATTACATGAGCCGAGCTGGCCCGGTTAGCCGGGCTGATTTCTTTTGTTTTGGTGTTTGCCAAAGCGTGAAAACAAAAGAAATCAGCCCGGCTAACCGGGCCAGCTTGGCTCATGTAATCAGGCCCTAACTGTACAACTCAAAACAAATATTGAAATCAAATCACCAAATTTTATGGCTCTGAAAATGGAAACTGCTCTAGCAAAATATTCATGTTTCTACTTCGTTTGCATGTTATGCTATAAGGGAGATCTATTGCTGTTTGAAATGGTATTCACAGTAAGCTTCTAAAAAATTCATCAAAGAAATAAAAGTTCACTTTTTTCATGTTGTTTTCTTAGGCATTACTCCTGTGATATCTTGATCTCTGTGTTCAATTTATTAGAACAGGAAAACTCTTCAAAGGCCAATAGAAATTAAAACAATTCAATGTTGATATCAATTTTTATTAAAGACTAGTATGACCTATTCAAAATATAAGGGGGCAGATGTTGCAGAGTGTTAACATTTACGATTTGACAGTTCTCCAACAAAATTCAAGTATTTTCTCTTAAATAAATTATTTCTTAAACCTGAATCTCTCGTTGGGCCGGAAAAAATTTCCTAAATTCTAATCTATCCATCAAATCACTTTGAGTCACTAATTGATACAGATGTCTTCTTTGATATTATGTTATGAAACTGCACGCAAATGTAACGCAGTGTATCCTAGTTAGTGTTAAGAATATTTTTTAATCGGGACCCTCAACTACGGTTATTAGTTAACGGAACGGAAAATCTTGCTGACGGAATAACGCAATAACAAAAAATTGAACAGAAAACGGCGATCGCTGAAAGGCCAAATGTCAATATTTCGAGTGCAGCAATTTCAAATGTCAAAGGAAGGGGTCCCACAAACCAGTAAAGGATATCTTATGCTTCAAAAAAAAAAAAAAATGTATGCGAAACTGCAATATTATTTAGCTATTTTACCTTCCACTTCGACAGAGACGGACGGTGCGGGTCTGTAGAAAAAATATATATAATTGCGCCTTTTACTTACAAGGGAAGCACACTGAAATATATTTCTACTGCTCGCTACATCAAATGACAGCACAGTTGACAGTGTCTCAAATGAAAACAAGCCGCTTACCACTTTGTTTATTATTGTCATGATCAAGAGAACTTGCAGGCTTCTTCCCCACTTTATTCTTCAGTTTTCGCGTCTTCCTAATGAGCCATCGTTCCAAACGGTCTTGATCCACATATTTCATCACATAATCTTCCAAAAACACAGGGTTTGCTCGGAGAAAATTACGCACCGCCTCTTCATCGACATCTGAAATTTGAAAAAATAATGAGGAGCCATAGAATAAACTAAAACTAGAGACGGATCACATTTTTCTTTGCAAAGATCATTTTCGGCTCAAAACAGCGCCTACGCGTAAAAAGGAAAATCATGAAAATCCATTTTAAAAGAAAAAAGTCGGTAATTACTTTGGAGCGAAGTTTACCGAGAAATGTTTTATTCCTTTTGAGCTAACAACATTTTCAGGCCAGATCACGATGCAAAATACCTCATGATTAAGTTTGAATTTTTTCAGAAAAAAAATTATTTTACAAACTCAAAGTTCACGATCGTTGTATCAAATCATAACAAACAGTGAGATTGTACGAGAATAGTGCCGTATTTGTGAGGGTCAAAGCTGTCATTAACGCAGTTCAAACTCGTTTAAAATTACACTCACCTTGGCCATTTCCTATCGCTTTTCCCTGTACCAACGCTGGCCGAAACGGTCCATCGCCAAAGCTTGCGGTCAGATCAATGTGGGTAATGTGACTGCTCTGACCATGGCTGTTTGATGTTCGATTGCTAACAGGCCCTTTCGCTGCCTTTGCCTGAGAAACAGGAGAAGTTCCATGACCGTTTGAAGCGCGCTGATAAATCGGGCTATAACGCGAACCGCTTGGTAGAGGAGGAAGGCGACGATTTCCAACCTGACGTGAAGGACTCGACATCAATATTTTCGAAACTGGTTTCCTCTCATGTCAAGTTTTCCTTTCACAGAAAGACGAACGAACCACAAGTAATGTTTATCTTCATTGCTAAGAGAGAGTAAGCAGCTGGCGGCAGATAGTCACGTGACTCACCGGAAGTACATTTTCACACCAATCTTTTTACTCCTGTCGCTTCTGTTCCCTGATTTAACGCGCGCCGCGGTAAGTAGACAAAACAAGCTCTTTATGGAATCAAAGAAAAAACATCTCATTATTTGTTCGTGTTATTTTATTTTATCTCTATTCAGATCATCAGCTGGAATCGCAGACTGAAAAGGTAGCCTTAGCTTCAAAAGATATGAAAGAAAATGCGACAGGTCTTTTTTTGGTTCCCTTACATGATGGCAAAAAATTGCTGAATGATGATTATTTTTTTTTTGAAAATAAAGCAATGATTACACATCTTTTAACCTCTCAGCGGCTATAAAACTATTTATGAACCAATTTTTCTGCTCAATAAGTGCAATCTAGCCTCGGAGCGCAGTTTTCGATCAGATGGTGCGTATTCAAACATTTTAATTTTTGAACGTGCAGCCCTGTCAACATATGGTAAAGGTTCATTAACGTGTTTTCTCGATTTTACGAGTGGCGTTGGGTTGGCCCGGTTTGAAATCATGAATACCAAATTGAACCCCCTCGGTATTCTATTTTGCAACAAGCTCAATTTCTTATGGTGAGATGTAAGAAACACTGTTACCATAATTCCTGAAAACTCTCGTTGCGTGTTGACACCAATTTTGAATAAAAGGAAGCCGGCTATGCCATATTTTTTATTAAATTCCGTTTCCCTTATTAAGAGTCTTTCTCAGGGCAGTTTTCTTAATTTTCTTTTTTTTTTTCAATTCTTGCTATAGCCTCAAATAATTCTTTTGTCCACGGTAAAATTTGAAAATTAGCCAGTCACAATCATAATGACGCTATTTCGATAAGATGTTATCGATGCCAAATTTTAAATACACGTAATTTTCTTTAGATAAAAGTTGCTAGTTAGCCGGACTTCATGACAAAAAAAAAACTGATTATAAATAATATTCCATAAAAATTTTACCGCCGTAGCCATGAAAAACTTTCTTGATGTTCCAAAGGAAAATAGAGTCGATCTCAATTAATATTTTAAGCTGTTTGAAAAAGGAACCTTTATATTCATAGCTTCCTTAAAAATAAGTTGAGAAAGTACAGACAGTTTTTCTTTATCTAAGAGGAGAAAAAAATTCAATCTACAAACTGAAAAAAAGGCTTGCAAATTTTTTCTTTCCGGTCGCCGGGTAAAGTTTTTCAAGAGGCTTACGCATTTCTACATAGCAACAATACGTAGTATAGCTGCCAATTAGTATTGAGGTCAACTGGAAGGGAGGAAGTTTGGCAGCTGGATTTGAAGCTGTCGCTATTTGTTAAACATGAAAAGTTATCCCCTTATCCCCTACCTGAAAGCCTTCGAATAAATAAACGCTCCCTCTGCGCAATAATGGATATTTTTTTTTCTGGTGAATCAACTCGAGTTAACTAATCATGAGAAAAATTAAAATCGTAGTTAGAATCGCATTTTTAAAGTAATATGTGAAGCCATTAAAAAAAAAGAAACATTTAGCGAATAAAAGGCAATTTGAAAGCGATAAAAAACTGAAGTTTATAACTTTCAGGTATTGAACCAGCGATCCTAAGCTACCAAAACCAAGCCTAATATGGTATGCGAACGCTATTCTGACGTCACTTATCCCAACGACGTGGTAACATTGGCAGAGATGGAGGCGTTGTACACCGGTCACCGTTTTTTAATATTATTATCATTATTGTTATTATTATTATTATTATTATTATTATTATTATTATTATTATTATTATTTCTTTACGTATAAAACAAATAAAAATACACCGGTGAGTTGAAAAAGAAAATAGTTTGCAATTTGGTAATGGAGTGATCTGAGTTTTCATCATTTTTCTAGTTTCGTATCTCAACTCCTGGGTAGACAGAAGGACTTTTACAGCCAAGTACAACAAGCTGTTGGACACAGACCTTTTAATCTCAACTCCTGTATGATACTTTTGAACCCACCAAAGTCAAAGTTGAAATTCTTATTAAAAATATTAGCAAGAAGACTGTAAAATAAGTAACCTCTTTAATTTCTCACGTCTTGATATGTTTTGAATAACAAATCATTACACATATTTTTTGCATGTTGTTGTCAAAAGCTCTCATCATTAGTGCAATGTTCTAAATTTTGTTACAAAAAGATTTCCATAAAGCCCCATACCACTCTAATACAAAGCTGTAGTCCAAAGGCAATCAATGGTTTTTTTCGCTATCTTTATCAAGAGCTGAATGCATTACGAAGTATGGAGTTGTGGAGCAGTCTTTCCCTTGTTTCTGACTTTGTATTGTACTGTATGTATTATCGACAATATTTCTCACCAAATAGAAATTATCATGATTACAGTTTTAAAAATTCCAGCATCACTTCAATCATATTGATTTGAGATGGGTTTTTAACCCTTTAATTAACTCCTGAGACTGATCTGATTATGAATTCTCCCCTCTAGCTGCTACACATTTCCTTCTAAATTGGTTTTGAGAATTTGATGTTCAATCAAGGTAACAACTTCTACCTGATAAGTTTGAGTATTCTCACTACTTGTTTGCTGGATCATATATGGATATTATAGGGGAGAAGTTACAGGTTAATCACTTTTATGAGTTAAAGAGTTTACATGCAACCTCTTTCTAGACCATCCATAGATTATCCAGCAAACAGGATTGAAAATACTCAAACTTATTAGGTAAATAATAATAACAGTAATATAAATAACTTATTTACATAGCACCTTTTCTCCAGGATTTGAAAGTGCTGATTACAGTAATATGATTTAAAATACTTAAAATAGTTTTAAAATATTTAACAATTATTCGCCGAAGGCGAGGTGAATATCATCGAATAATCCCCAAGACGAAGTCAAGGGGATTATTCGACAATATTCACCGAATATTGGAAGAGAAGTATCAAGGCCTTATGCGCAACAGAGAACTAAGAAGACTGATGATGATGATTCACTGAACCTGAGGCGAATAATTGTTTTAGTATCATTTCTGAGCTGAACAACAGAGAAATTTCTAAAATCATAACATTTTAGTAACAGTTATTAACATTTTATTTTAACATTTTATAAAAACCGCGTGGAGCGGTTTATATAGCGTCATATAAGGAACTGCTTGACGAATCAGATTGCTGGAAACTCTTTGCTCAGCTCTGAAATTATACTAAAAAGAAATAATCACAAAATATATAATGAATTTCATATATTAGCCATTTAAAAATTAAAATTCCAATAACATTACATTTTGAGTTATAAGCTTGACAAAAAACAAATGTTTTCAGTTTAATGAGTTTAAAAATGTCCACAGAGCTAACAGATAGAATATTCACGAGCAATTTGTTCCACAGTTCTGAAGCAGCAACAGAAAAGGACAAAAAGTAGAGGGTGTTATCTTGATCAAACACTAAATTTGTCTAACTAATATAATGGAAATTTGTAACAGCTAGAGGGGAGAATTAACTATTAGATCTTGGGTTGTGACTTAAATGGATACTACAAATTCAATTTTCTGAGCAAGGGCTGGAACCTATTATTTTCTTTTTTTGGCAAATAAGGCTAAGAAAAATAAGAGGGAAGAATTAACTATTAGATCTTGGGTTGTGACTTAAATGGATACTACAAAATCAGGTTTCTGAGTAGGGGCTGGAACATTATAAGAGAGATTATACTTCATCCCTACAAGCCTGTTATGTGCTTACTTACTCGATCATCAGAGGATTTTGTAACAAAATACCCTGATGAGTGGGTAAACAGCCTTGTAGGGATGATAGTATAGTCTCTTAGAATTTTCTCTATCTCAATGTATGTATATATGTATGTATTTATGTGTGTGTGTATGGTGTTGTGGCGTGAGGGGGCTAAGGAGGCACTGCTTCCCACGAGTACTGAGAAGACTCGTCTTCCTTTTCAATTTTTTTCCACTTAGGTTTTGGTTCTGAATCGGAGTCGTTTGTGAGGGATAGCACCTCCAATGGCCCCTTGCTGGGTTTGGTGATTGTCGTTGATTTTTTTCAGGGCTTTTGATCTTGCTTGCAGGTTGCACCTTCTTTTCCCCTCCCACCCCCACCTCCTCTCCACTCTCACTCTCGCCATCGGTGCTTTGAAATACTTCCCCCAAGGTGACTTCATTGTCCTCGGATGTGTCCCTCGCCCAAGGAAGTTAATAAGTGAGAAAGGTGGTTTAGGTTTCATGTTTCGAGTTGAATACCAAAGAGTTGGCAATGAAGCTAGCAAAAGGTTACGCCAACTAACCTTGGGAGAATAGTCAGGGTCAGTCT